GAGTGGTTCTGCATATGGGCTAGAGTCCTTCACCCATTATGACATCCTGCAGGAATTGTATTGATAAGTCTGTATTTCAGTTCTTCTTAAGAAAGAACCTATTTATGAACCCGACAGCAGCATTATCCAAAGGCACCAAGTTTGCTTCTAACAGGAAAATAAAAAACAAGTCTAAAAAAGTTTAAGAAGCAGTTATCTAGGAATTGAAAATGTGGTAACCTTAAAAGACAAAGGCTGACAAATATATACAAAAAAAATGACATTAAACTAGCACAAAGAGAAAACATACTTTTCAAACAAAACTTATTATAAATATTACACCTGTATAAAACAGAAGACTGAAATAAAATAAAATAAAATAATCTTGGACAACATCGAAAGTTCCAAGAAAAAGTGAATGAAAAATGGTCTAGAACCCAACAGAACATAAAGGTAAAATATCAAAATAACATAAATTAAAATAACATCAGAAAAAGTTAAGAGTTATGACATTAATACAATCAATCTTTGGCTGCAGAAATATGCAGAAAGTAAAAGTTATCTTCCAGATCTTTGTTCTGGAGTTTCTTTATGTTCTTTGGTTGCTGAAGTTTTCCATCTTAAGCAGCAGCTCAGTTAATTCGCAGCCTGATGCTCCCTTAGCTGCTGATAAATGAGGCAGAAAGGTCGTTACAGAGTAATTGCAGAGAGGATACGTGCCGTCCATATCTATTCAGGCCGTTTTATCGCTCGTCTCACCTGCAGATCTGCAGAAACCCTTTCATGAGGCGTTCATTGACGGCTCCTGTTTTGCAGCTGTTTGTGTCTCTCTTTGAATGAGTCAGAGTAACAAAGCAAAGAGAAAAGGAAGCTTGGAAAACTGGTGAAGTTGGATACAAATGGAGGGAGGCAGGAAAAAGAAGATGAATGCTGTAGGAAAACTCAACGAGTTCATTTCTTGTCATTTTTCTCTCCAACTGTTGCTCTTGAACACAAAAATCAACTATAGGAACACGGAGCTTCATATCAAAGACTGAGCAGGATGAGTGAACCTGGCACAGAAACACCTGGTTTGGACCCAGAGAGCAGTTTATGTTGTGGAGATGAAGAAAACTGGACTGAGATGATGGGAACGGCCCATAGAGGAGCCTTTTCCAGCCTTTTCTAACTGCTTCTGATGCAACAACAATCAAATCTGCTGTTTCTTTCTGATTAAAAGCTCAAAATATGCAGTCAAAAAGGCTAATTCCACATTGGAATCAGCACAATGCTTTATGTTCAGATTAGCTAGGCTGGTTCTGGTAAAACCAAGGATGCTTTCAAAAAAGAACCAAAAGATGTGTCGTTCGCTGGAGATTCAAGGTCCAAAGATGGACAGTTCATCCCTCAGCGTTCAAAAAGGCACAGATGCTCCTTACGTTGTAAGGAGATGATTAAAAACACAGTTCATCACTGCAGACGGAAAGGCTATGGAGAGAGGTGAAGATCTAAGAGCAGCGCTGTGTTAGAGTGTGAAGCAGCACCCACAGGACAGCTCAACTATTGCTGGACCCCTAGAAACACTTCACACCGGCTCTACCACTCTGATCTCTTGGATTCCCAAAGAGATTCTGAAAGCTTGTTGACCAGAGGACTCAGCTGAAGGAGTTCAAATATCTGAAGAGGATGTTTCTAACGGGAGAAGACTCAGAATAACCCAAAAAATCAATCACTGTCAAACAGACTGGAACACAGACAAGGATTTAAGGCTCAAACAAACAGCTGCAGAGAGAAAACTCCTTCTGGTGGAACAAAATGTCCATCTTTATGAGGCATCACTCCCTGTAAGAGATCTAACAGCATCCACAGAACCTTTAGGTCTATTTCCTACAGAACCGTTCAAAGGTGAAAAATACAGGGAGTGAAAGAGAATATGGGCGTGTCCCTCTCTGCCCTCTGATTGGTCAGAAACCTGTAAGCCACGTCTGGAATCAGGCTTAAAAAACAATCATTGGATCAGAAATAATGAATAAGGAATATTCTGGAGTTAATTTAGAAAAAAACTCTAAGCTTCGATTATGGAAAAACAACAAAAGGGATCAAAAATATAAGTGAGTCGAGTAAAGTCCAACTTTGTGGGATATCTTTGAATCTAAATGAAGGTTCTGATCAAATGGTGGCTGAGATATGGAGGTAGGTTCATTACTGACTCTATGGAATCTTATTAAGCGTAAGAATATTTTTTATTTTATATTTTTAAACTTTAAAACATAATTCACAATATTTCTTGTCTGGTTCTAAAGTCGGGTTTAGTAGCTGTTTAGCTACTAATTTCTACTCTGTTTCTCCATGTCTTTTTCCGGCAGAGTACCTCTTCTTATTCCAAAAAAGTTAAAAACAAACCGCTGCAGTCCAGTGGTTTGGTTTCTGTTTGGAATAACTATGACCTGGATGACTGAGAATCTTCACCAGCATTCAGCACCTCGGTTCATTTCTCTCCTCACTCACTGCAGCAGTTTCCAGCTGCTAAGTGTCTTTTACCTAACATAAAGAGGGATTCATCATATTTTTTTTCACACACTGAGTGCAGGAACATTCTTGGAAGGACTTTCACAGATACAGCTCCTCCATGAAGATCAACAACCAGTGAAATACTCCCACAGGAGCTGGTGGATAAAGCAGAAACTGGAACAAAACTCAGCAGGTGGAAATAAATTCTTCATGCATCCTAAACGATCTGATCCATCCGGCCTCCTCCACACTGGTAGCTATTGCAGATTAGCCTCGTATAACCCATCGCTTCTAAGAGACGGGCCTTTGGCGCCTGAGAGGACGAGCAATCAGGTTTAAAACGATCATAGCCTGCAGGACTGAGAGCAGCACCGTTTGGGCCGACAGGCAGTGAAACATGAGGAGGAGACCCACATTTGATGAGGAGAAACCAGATCGGAGAGTGAGCTCACTCTGTGGGTTTATGTAATGCTGCAGAGTGGGAAGCATCGCAGTCGGGATGCCTTCAGTGTCCCGTGGGAAGGCTGTAATTTACAATAACCCAATGAAGCTCTGAGTGGGCTGGTGTGGAGGGGGGGGAGAGGGGAGGATGGACGGATGGATGGATGGATGGATGGA